CTCAAAGGTTAAGGGACGAGGCCGAGGGCTCGCGCGCATTCGACGAGCGCGCGACCAACGATCGTTTATTTATCGCGATGCAATCCGCGAGAATGATAATTTATTTATCCGGGGCTCGCTCGCTCGCTCGGACGTAACGTCAAGTTTCGAGAGAGGCGATAGTGCGAACGGATGGCAGTGACTGATACTCGCACGAAGACTAATGGCGCATGCAGAATGCGGATTCAGCATGACGTGGTCGATAGCGTAGACGTGCGAGAAGGGCGGCCTGAGGGAGAAACAGGAGGCAAAATGAGAAAGAGAGAGAGAGAGAGAGAGAGAGAGAGAGAGAGAGAGAGAGAGGAGATGCGAGAGCAAGGGCGATGTTTTGTTAACCGCGGCGTTCGAAGGGCCACCTGCCTGCACGGGGCGTTGATTTTGACAAAGGGTTTAAATGCCCGCCGAGATCGCCCAGGCATGCCTAATTCCACCCCTGCGACTCTCTGGGTCGGGGATATCTATCAAGCCCGAAGTTGCACCGTGGTGTGATCCCGCGTGACAAAGAGCGCCGACGGCGTAGGAGTTGTTTTTCACCAGTTGGCCCTTTTGAGAGACCGTCGACGCGCGCGCTTTTAAAGCTCTCCCCCTTTTTTTACGCGGCCGGGCAAGGTCGTGTGAAGCAGCTTTCGACTATACGGTATGGCGAGTCTCCGGGGCTCAGATCTCCCGGTGAGATAGGATGCGCGGCGCGTCGGTCAACCGGTCGTCAGTCCACGCCTGTCTGTGTTAATGACCGTGATATTTCAGAAGAACGAATCGACCGTCGCGAGTGTATCGATCACCTTTGCGCAAGAGATCGCGCCGTGCCATCTTTCAGCGGCGGGAATTAGAAATGGGCTTTTTGTCCCGCACTATTCACAGGTTGCGATTAGCATAGCAGATCTGTCGATCCACGCCGCCATACGGCGCGTATAACACTTCTGTACGGTGTGGCTTTATTTCCCGATAGTTCGCTTCGGGGAACAAAATCGACTCGTCATGCTTTTGCACAGCGACGATAAGAACTTGTATACTGATAAATGGCACGTGTAAATCACACTGATGCAACGCGCGCGCCGCGGGGAAACAATCCAACGACTAACATTATACTTTACATTCACCGATACTTGATTTCAGCTACCGACCATGAATATTTAATCGGCCGTAATGGCACACAAGAACGTATGCAAGCGATATCATTTATATGGTATGCGAACGGTATCGTTTCACTACGCGATACATAATACATGATTCTCCTCAGTGTTTTCACGAAATGATAATTGGATATTAACCCTTAGAGGACGCAGTGGTGCGCAGTTACGCTCCGGATATAGTCGATTCCGAGTCGAAATTTTGATTCTACTTTCGGCCTCAATATTCCACTTAACGCCTATTTTGATACTCTAGAACCTGTATAACTCTTGATTCTATTTAACTAACTAGTTTGCTGAGAAATCCTCTTTGGAACCTACAAGTGACATTTTGCGCGTTTCCTGCCATTTAGAAGGCAAATAGGATTTCAGTTTTTCTTAGACTCATTCTTCAGAATATACAGATGTTTGAAAGTTCAGATCCAAAATTGGGCTAAAATTAAACGAACATCCACTCAAGATGTTTATTTGATCGTTCCTCAACAAATATATATGCCCGCAGGCCAAAGCGACGGTTTTTGCTGATCGAATACATACGTTCACAGTATTCTACACGTTCAATATACGTTCATAGGCTTAATAATTTGCTCATCGCACGTGATTCCTGCCAAGCATTATCATGTTCATTTGCCACTTGAAGTAGCAATCCCAATATGTAAATATCACGTCGTAAAGAAAATGAAAGGAAACGGAAGCACTCGATCGATAAGTAAAAGTGGCGTCAAAATAAAAACTCCTGAGCCGGGTTGAATAATCCCCCGATATATTTTCTCAAAGTACTTTCCACTTTAGTGCGAGGCCCGTGCCAACCGTGTAATCTCTCCGACCCTTTCCGATATCCTAATATCCAGATGAAGGGGAACAACTGAGGCTCCGAGAGAATTCTCGTATTTTCCTTTAAAATTCCTCGCCGAGATTATTCCACTTTCCACTTCGTTTTGCAGAAGCGATGTGGTGAATCATCAAATGTTTTCCGAAAAAACAGCAACCCATAGCTTTTTCACTGAAAATACAGCAAAAGATTCGTTCTCTCTCCCCCTCTTTCCTTTCGATATTTTGGTTCACTTGTTGAAATATTATTTATATTTGGCCGAGAACAAAAATAATTGGAAAATTGTTTCGAAATGTTTGCAACACACCGTTCATTTCGAGATCATACGAGAATAATTAGAGAAAAAACACATAAACCTATATATCAAGACTAAAACGTCGCTTTCCGCCACTTGAGATAATTGGAGTGATTACTAAATTGTTGTTATTTACATTCCCGTTTTTTATTTCATCACATCACTTTAATCAAGAGTCACGCGATATCTCGCGAACCAATGGACAGATGGCTTTATCATTCTCCCGTCAATATACACAATCGAGTCGAAAATGACGGTCGCACACGCGTGGACGCAACACCACGTGCGAGCAACAGCACGAAACAAAGTACACGATCACTGTTCAATTACGCGCGACGTAATGCATGCGCGGCGTGCAACGACGGGACGACAAACCGCAGTCGCTAGGAAACGGGATGCGCATCGACTCGTTGCAGGGCGTTTGCGTGTGTCATGCGTGTGGTTGCTGGTGCGCGCGGGCGCGCTTACAGGCGCGCGCACACACACGGTCGAACTGCTGCACGTATCGGATAAACACACCCCACGCATGCACCGCCGTTGCCCGTTGGAGTGGTTCTCCCCCTCCGGGTAATAACAGTAAATCCCAAGTAATAAATCCCTCTGCTCTGTCTTCCTTCCCCACACTCCCCTCGTCCCTCCCTCCCCCCCCCTCTCTCTCTCTCTCTCTGTCTCTCCCTCT